CCCCCTTGTGATGGACCGTCCATTCGATCCCAGGTATCACAAGCCTCCAAGACACCGGTCGACAAGCTCTAGTAGCAAGATATACTCCAGCTAGCCCCTAATTGGATGGCCAAACTGGTGGAGTAGGTGAGTACGGAGGCTTTTAATCACGAGTTTCCCCTATCAACACTTTTTCGGTCGAGCCTGTCGTACCGGACTTGCTTAGTACGATTTACTTAACTGGCGTGATTTGCAAGTTATTGTGTCAACCCCAGAGTTTACATAGTGCGCACCCCAATGATAGTGGTTACTGATTCCCCTGTCATAAAAAAAGAAAAGAAAAAAGAAAAAAAAAGGAGGGATATACTTCAAATAGAAAGCTTGCAACTATACCTACATGTGATCTCATCATTAGTATATTTTTCGATAATTTGATCATAGACCAGTTGTTAACAATCTTGTCGTATCACATAGGTATGGGAGTTCATTATACCCGTAACACTCTGCTCCAATTTTTATCACATTTATATGTATATATATAACACATGCCTTAGAGGGTAGAAAGAAAAGTTTGATTCTTTTCTTCATCATTGTTAAATAACCATTAATTTCGGGCAATTATACATCAAAACTATATAATAAATCGAAATTGTCTATTCAAATGATACATTATTTTTGCTTGTTTCCAAACTTAGCTTTTGATTGACCAGTGTACTTTCTAGTTTATTTGGCTACTTGAATAGTTCGTATTACTCCTAGCACGTGTAATAGCATGGGAGGCATGTACACATATGCTTATGTTTGGTTCAACACCAAAAGTGGATTCAAATTTAAGTCGAAATCAGCATTGATTTTAATCATATATTTCATAAAAATTACAACTTTTCAATTACACGTATCATTAAATTTATCAGAATCTACCAAAGAAAAAAAAAAGATCTTAGTTTGATCTAAACCAAAAGGAGCATAGTTAATTGCAACTAAAGTGAAATATTACTTAAATGATTTATTTATCTTCAAGTTACGTACTTTTTTTCACTTTTACTTTTAAATGATGATTGATTTTCTTCTCCGTTATTCTACTTATATGTGGGACACTTCCAGACTATTCTTCATGATGATAATATCTATATTAATAAACGTATTAAAAATTATTAGCTAAGAAAGTGACAACAGCCCAATTTGATCTAACTTTATATGCTTGTCACTGTCTCTCCAATTAATCCGGTCTAACACGTGAATTGACAAAACAAATTAATAAATGCTTTTGAATTCATGCACACAAGCACTAGGCGGGACCCGGGTCGGTCGAACTGATAAATTGACGCTTTTCTACCTTTGCCGACTCCCTAATTCCTTTTTCCACTTCTACTTCATATTAAACAGAAGTCTAACTTATGAAATCAAAATCCTTGCTTCGCTAATATTGTTACCACTCTTACAAAGCTAAAGCAATTTGATAAATTAAAGGGAGAATTGCATCCACGATCCCAAATCTTTTATTTTATTGTAGACTTTATTTAGTGCATGTTTTTTCACCCAAAAAAAATCAATTTTTTGATCGTTATTTCACTATTTCAGTTGTCATATTTGACCTCGTCTCTCACAAGTAGAACCCATTTTTCCCCCTAACGATCAAAAAATCAATTCTTAAAATCTCTACTGAATAAACCTTGAAATTTTTAGTTTGCGTCATTCACAATTTCAAACCTTACATTTTGTTGCAGTACAAGAACAAATGAATGGATTCCATCAACTAATAATGTATGCTTATTATCTACTTGTAACATGACATTTTCGAGATTATTTGCTCAAATCAACCAATTACGAGCACAATTTTCATACTGGATATCACAGACAATTCGTCTTGATAATACCAGTAAGTTTACATCCCAAAATTTTAATGAACATTAAATGTCGGTCGGGATAGAAGTTGAACACCTACTCATACACAAAATGATCGAGCGAAATCATTCGTTAAGCACCTCTAATTAATGGTTAAAAGATTAGTCATGAAAATAATGCTACCCATTTTTGCATGGAATATGCCATTCTACATGCAACAATATTTTTATGCATGAGGACAACATCTTATCATAAATTTTTTCCTTCAAAATTGATTATAGGTCGGAAGCCTAATATTTTCCATCTAAGAATTTTAGGTTGTATAGTGTATGTGCCCATTGTCCCCCATCACAACGAACTAAGATGATTCCTCAAAGAAGACTGCGAATATACGTCTCTTCTATAATAAAATATCTTGAACCCAAAATCAGTGATATTTTAATGTGCGATGAGTCAATTGTCATTTTATTGAGACAATAATTCAAGCATTAGGGAGATAATCAAGTAGCTCGAAATTTTTTTGGGGAAAAAAAAAATTTGTCTGATCCATATTTGTGCAAGATAATACAAACATTCGCAATGTATAGCCAATCAATTGCCAAATGTATTTATTGATCGAAAGAGAGTAGTTAGGAATACTCCGATTCAAATTGATATCCACATAGAATAATCAATAAAAAAACATGTCTGAAGTATGATAAATCAACTTGTTCTAAAAAAAAAAAAAAAAATACTATTCAAAAAATTATAACATCAAATAATGGGGCTCAAACGGGGGCTAAATCACCAATTCTATTGGAAGAGAGCATCCCACCGGCTTTTAGGGTTCTAAATCCTCAAAATAAATAGTGATCGGTAGAATTGTAACCAAAGTCGTGTAATGCAGTGCAGTGCAGGTGTTCATAAAAGAAGCAGAAGAAATTACAAGTAACTGATTTGAGCCCCTTAATTCCCTCCCAACGATCTTTTATTTTGTTATTCCAATTCTATTGGAAGAGAGCATCCCACCGGCTTTTAGGGTTCTAAATCCTCAAAATAAATAGTGATCGGTAGAATTGTAACCAAAGTCGTGTAATGCAGTGCAGTGCAGGTGTTCATAAAAGAAGCAGAAGAAATTACAAGTAACTGATTTGAGCCCCTTAATTCCCTCCCAACGATCTTTTATTTTGTTATTATACATCATTAGCTTTCTCTCTCGTCTCGTATATTGTTTTCAAGATTGTAGGAAGGATTATATTCGGTACCAGTGAACTTCAATTGCACATATTAATGGTTAGTGACTTTTGATTGAGGCTTGTTCGTGTTTGAGCAATTTTCATTTTTCACGAGAATTGTACATTTATACGCCAATCGTTGCCCCCGACATTGTTTTAGTTGAAACTATCAATTTCAATGGTTATGAATATTTATTGGTTAACAACAGTGGATTGACAAATTGTATCTCAATTTGATTATCAAATAGTCAAATAGATTATCTAATTTGACAACATCGAATTATTCACAACATAGCACAGTGCTAGTTGGATTTGATATCTTTAGGTTCTTGGTAATTACTCGTACCTCTCTCGGCTGAAGTTCTAGGAGGCTTACCCTGGCATGGATTTGTATAGCAAAATCACTAACAACTCCTTTACTACATGCTTCAAATAGTAGGTGAAACAAATGTCACTTTTAAGCTGTGTTTAAAGAACTTCTCCATCTTCAAAACCCCAAGTAGGCACTCCTTTAAGTAATGCTATGGCTATTAAAAAAAAAAGTTTATAGACCTCATAATAAATAGTCGCATTAAGGCTTCAAATTCTCAGGACTAACATAGTGAAAACCGTTTATTGCTACCATTTACACGCATTGATCCGAGTGTCGATGATAATTGCAGATCCAGTGAAGGAATTGATTGTTGGGGAAATGTAGAAGAAATAGTAATGGAAATGATGTAGTGTGCAAGGCCTGGGCCGGGGGCAGGGGACAAAAGAAAAATGATTTTGCCACTTTTATTTTTATGTACATAAGCGATTATCGAAAATGATATGTAGGGAAAATATTGAAAGAAAAGTTGAATGTGTTTTAGATTGACAAATAATAGAATATCATGTGAATATTATGGAATCCCTTATATAAATCTTGATTTACATGTAGTAAGGTTTAAAGAAAAATTTATACTGTATCGTTACATTGAAAAACAAAATTCATTGAAAAGAGAGAATTTTGATTTTAAAAAAAAAAAATTCCCTTATAAACTAATTGGGCCTAGAGACAAGTAATCCCTCTCCATCTGATTGTATATTGATTTTTTCAGAATAAAAAATTAAGAGATGATTAGCTTCCCTTGCTTTCCTTCCCTTCGCCCCTTGAAGTGTGGAGATGAAGGTGGTGGAATGTTGGAGAGTTGCTATGGTGGGAGATCTGATCGCTTGGGTGGTGGCACGATGGCGCATGAGTTTGAGAGTGATGATTTAGAATTTGAAAATTGAAAAGAGAAACTAATTTCTTATATTTTGTATTTCAAAATGGTAAATAAAATATATTTTAAATATTTTATACGATACAAAAAAGAAGTATTTTGAAAATTTATTGTTTGGTAGGTTGTATTTAGTACCTGTTTGTTTCCCACTATCTAGCCATTAAAATGAAAAATATGACCGTTATCCATCACATCAAGTCATCATATTTGGATTTCTATCTCTTATATGGAGTTCGTAACGACTGTATTTTTCATTCTAATTCTTACATTAATGAGAAACAAACGAGACCTTAATTTGGACTTTCAAAGACTTAATAAAATTTAAAAAGTTTAAGAATATTCAATGTAAACTTTTTAAAACTCTTTAGAAATATTGTATCTTTTTAAAGAGTAATACTATGCAACCCCAGTGGGATTGTAACTCGTAAATTTTAGATAATAAGTTAAATGAAATGTGAAATTAAATAATATTTTACATATTAATTAATTTCACATTAGCATCATTTATATTGGGATTAAATAGAATTACTCTTTTTAAAAGATCTTGGATTGAACTATATTTTTCAAAACTCATTTTTCCAAATAATTGCACTAAACAGGGCCAATGTATTGCATTAAACGCACTTATTGTTTTAGCACAGTAGATTTGGACCATAGGATGTAAACCAGGCGATTCAAGTTACTCTGAGAAGAGTGCGACTTTAGTTGGAAATGATAGAAATTGTAGGGGATAAAACTGTAGTCGCGGCATTCCCCGTGGAAGGTAAGCGCATATAACAGACTATACCTATTCCGACGTCGTAATTTTCACATCAGTGTGCCTATTTGAATCGCTCCAAAGCGCGAGACTGCGAGAGTACCAGAGTGAATCGAAGCAGAAGTTTATAAAAATATTTCAATCTCATGCATTTATCTGGTGATTGATCTTAACTTTAGCCCTATATGTGTATTTGTGTTTTATAATATTTCTTTTGGCACGCGTACGGAGAAAGAAATTAGGTTGAAAATAATTTCAAATGTTTAGTTTTGAATGACTTGTTGGATTTCGGTTATCGAAATTTTATGGTTGGCTGAAAGTAATTATTTCTTGTGTTTACTAGTTTGGTTCTGTATTTTCTTACAGAAGTTAAATCAAAATTTATATAGGTTGAAAACATCTGTCTAACAATTATGAAAATTGATTAGGTGTTTATTTGATGCCGAAATTATTTTGAGAAAAATAGAAGGGAATAAGGAAATGAAAATTATTATATGGCAGGTTTAGAAAATAATAAAATGGGAACGGTCCAGATCGTGAGATAGATTATGCAAATATTTCTAGAAATTGGTTTAAATGGTTTACTGTATTTGAAAATTTCTGTTGGTGCTAATAAGGAAAAGCAACATTACATTATGGGTAAAGTAGAATTAGAATGAAAACAATGTAGAATGAGGTGATTAACAATGACAGTGAAAATAAGCTTCCTGCATAGAGGCGAAAGGAATGGGAAATAAGGAAATATGCTGTGACTATTTTATCCTCATAAAGAATCAGGTTGACATTGTAGAATATAATGAAAAGTGAAAGGAATAACATTTAAAAATTTGAATACTTCATCCATAAGTATGATGATACAGTCAATTCGTTTGGAACTTAAGACAGGATGTGTTATTTTAGAAATTTTTCCTTTTCTATTCTTTTTCCATACTTAAACCAACTCTTGAATTCTCAAAGGGGGAAACAGGATTTGTGGCAGATATCACATTGAGCAGAATAAGATAAAAAAATTGAGTTGCTGAGCAATGAGCACAGAGAAAATGAAATTCCTAAGATGAGATGCAAAAAATTAGTGCTTTTTTGTCAAAGTTTCTTGAATGACCTCGCACTTTTCCAGTATCTTGATAGAACCCCCAGTTGCTGCTGCCCAACTATTGGAGGATTTAACTATACTCAAGGGATGATCAATTAAATTGTTTATTGGAATGTTGAATGAACATAAATGATAACAAAGCTCAGGCTATTCGAGAGGCCTGATCTCTCCACTATTTTCTCAATACTTCACTGCTTGAAGCTCTCTTATTACATTTATAGACAACCTATTGGCTTTCTATTACCCTTTACTAACTAACTATAGAACATTCTAGAATAGTTGATGACTTGGCTCCAATGTAATTGGATGTCTATCATTACCCCCATCTCAAAATCCTCCTTGTCCTCAAGGTGGAGGTGTGGTTTAACTTCAAAATTCAAATTTCCATTTAGCTTAACCATTCTTGGAGTAAGCTTGCTGCAGCTATTAGCATGTACAGGCAATCGTCCATCAACCAGTAAAATTTTACCCATACAAATTCCATAACCAGTTGCATTTATAGAAACCATAGAAGAGTTTGGGCTAGGGAATTTATTTCCTTTTTTATTCGGGTTGTAAATCATTTTAGCGTGCTTAATGAGATCATTTTTGTCTTCTAGCCTTTGTGGGCCAATTTAAAAAGTTGGCCCACACCTTGAGGCTGTAACAAGGTTTGAAACCGATTAACAAAATTGCCCAAACATAACTTCTTTGGTAATGACGAGAAGGGACCTGCCAGACTATTGAGCCTCTTGTAATCCTAGCAATTCCAGCCATCTATACCATCCTCGATTATCTCGGATTTTGGGGAAATTTAAAAAATAAGGGTGTGTTCCGGTGTAGCTGCTGTCAAACATTTTTTCAACTGATGTTCTGCTCGCCATGGCTCGTCATTTATATTCATGTCTTTGGTACTTGCTCCAAATTCCTTCAATTTTGGGAAAATTTTTGAATTGATGGTCGAATCAGGTGAGGTAGCTGCCCACGCCTTTTCCTTCCTGTCTAGTTCCTCCCGATGATGCGTGATGCGGGTATTTGCTCCAATTTTCTCCAATTTTGGGGAAATCTCAAAAGTGATGGTGAGTTCTAGCGAATTTTCTATAATCCCATTCTCCTGCCTTACTCATTCCAGTCCTCCCCTTTCTTTTATCATCAGATCGAGCTTCTCCATTATTTTAGACATCGCTCTCTGAAATTCGAATTTTATTTCTTGGAACTCTTCGTGTAATTGTGATTGCAATACTTCGATCATTGTTTCCAAAAGATCAACTCGATCTTCTGATTGTTTTTCTTACTTAGATGTAATGTCCCAGGTTAACAATGGTTGCTCTGATACCATTTTGATAGAATCCCCAGTTGCTGTTGCCCAACTATTGGAGGATTTAACTATACTCAAGGGATGATCAATTAAATTGTTTATTGGAATATTGAATGAACATAAATGGTAACAAAGCTCAGGCTATTCGAGAGGCCTGCTCTCTCTACTATTTTCTCAATACTTCATTGCTTGAATGCAAATCCCAACTGTTGGAGGATTTAACTTTACCCAAGGGATGATCAATTAAATTGTTTATTGGAATATTGAATGAACATAAATGATAATAAAGCTCGGGCTATTCGAGAGGCCTGATCTCTCCTCTATTTTCTCAATACTTCACTACTTGAATGCAAATCCCAGCTCTCTCTTATTATATTTATAGACAATCTTTTGGCTTTTTATTACCCTTTACTAACTAACTATAGAACATTCTAGAATAATTGATGACTTGGCTGCAATGTAATTGGATGTCTATTATATCTTTATGCTGGACATTGTCCTTTGAGGATACGACCTGTGCTTATTCTGATTTTTACATCCAAATGCATCTTATGAGCTCTCGTAAAACAACAGGACAGACAGACCAATAGACATGTGATTTTTGGAGCTTTGGAAACGTCTTTCATGGATTGCCATCTTTCCTCTACGTCAACTCTTCCATCGATCTGGATTGTCGAGACACTAGCAAGCTGTAATCAAGTTGATGAATCTATTTTATATGGTACATGTGTTGCTTCCTTTATTTTGTAATAAAAAGTGGTGTTAAGTTCATCTTGTTGTTGAGAGTTAAGAGTTTTATGTTGATAGTCGATGTATTGTAGACTTGGTTAAGAAGACCCCGGAAATAACTAGTGATCTTGGGAAAAATGCAAGAGAATTTGTCTCCTTGAGAATCATAGAGAGATTGTTTGTCATTGGAGCTCAAAATGCGAATCCTGTATCTTCGTCTTCAAGTTCTAAAATTGGATTTGACCCATCAGAGAGTTGTGAAGCTGTCCTGGAAAGCATATCACGTGAGGTACTTCGCTTTGGTTTGTCTCTGGTGTAGCTTTATGATTTTTAATCTGAAGACGTGCTGTATGTCAAGGTACTTTTTGTGTGTAAAAATGGTTAACCTGCTTGAATAATTTTCTGTACATATGGTTAGACATCTGTACAAAATCTGATAGAGTATGGACTGGACACATTGAAATGGGATATTCAGCCCTTCATAGAGCACAAAAGGTCTAACTCGCCTAAATGCACTTTACAGCAGGTGAAATGTATTCTTTGATATAGTTATGTAATATTCTAAATTTTCTGTTATTTGTTCTGATTTTGTCATTTCCTTCAAAACAGCTGAAGGATGCAATTCTTACAGGAGGCCATCCTCTTCTTTCATCCTTAAAAGAACACAGTGGTTTGGCAGTTACAAATCAGCCTGAACATAGACTTTCAGTGGATGATGGTGATACCAACCATGTTGCAGCTACACTTAAAGAGAGCAACGCAAATGCTCTAAATGTTGCAGCAAATGGTCACTTAATTTCTCCCATCCCTGCAAATGGGGATGTGCTCTTAAAGAGAAGTTTGACTGATGAGAACTTAGTAGCTAAGCGGAATAGGAGTGCCACTACAGAATTTGTGGAAGGTCAGTCCCATGAAAATGAAATCGCATTGGGGAATGGTGGTGATACCCTTGCAAAATCTGCCAAGAAGTTTAAGCATGGCATCATCAATTGTGAACGGGATGGGCACATGAATTTTCTATCTTCACATGCAGGAAAAAATAGTCCTCCTGAAAACTGCAGGAATGAGCATCCTTCATTGAAGGGGCTTGTTGAACATGATGAAGCTCTGCCTTGTGAACCCCAGGTTCTTCATAAGGGAACTGAATTGCCAAAGGACAGATCTGGAGAGGTACAAAGCCAAGAAAATCATCTTGATGAAATAAAAGCTTACAAAAAAGGTCTTTGCAAGCTCAGGACAGATATAGGCACTTGTGAGGGTGGAATTCAGCCTGCGCTCTGTAATGATGAATACCTGGATGGATATGGGCATAGTTCTCAACGAAAAGTCTCTAATGTTATTGATGCTGAAGATGATATTGACCATAATCAAGATGCTGATATGGCTTTTGATGACGAGGGGTATAATGATGAGAATGATATTGCCATGAAGAAGAATGCTTTCTTAAGCTCACAGTGCACATACAGCCAAGATTCCTTGGCAATGACTGATTTGAGAGAGATAAATCTGTGCACAACATGCAAAAAGGGTGGAACTTTATTGGTCTGTAGTTATAACAGTTGCCCCTTGATGGTTCATGAGGGCTGCTTGGGTTCTGCCCCCAACTTTGATGCAGGGGGCAAATTTTACTGCCCTTTTTGTGCATACTCTAGAGCGATATCGGAGTTCAATAAAGTTAAGGACAAGGCCTCCATGGCAAGAAAGGACCTGGCAACCTTTTTTAGAATGGGAACTGTAAAAAGAACAAAGGAAGTAGCCGTTAGTTCACGTAGGGAAAAGAAAAGTCAATCAGAACTGGATGAACATTTGCATGATAACAATAAACTGACCAACAGAAATATTTCTAAACAGGACAACAACCCTCAGTGTCGGGAAAATCTTAAAGATGACTGTGTAGCAGAGCCTTCAGTATCATGTGATGGTGACAATCCCCTTCGTGGAGATAAATTAGCAGATTCAGACAGTGAAAAAGAACTACCCATTTTGGCAAAAGAAAATGAAGAGGGGAAAAGGGTGGGACAAGAGTGCAAATCTCCGGGAGATCATGGAAAACAACTAATCGCTGCAGAGGCAGTTTGTAAATCTGGAGATGGTATTCCCTCTGCCAGGTTCCCACAGAGAAGCAATGGAAATGAGCATGCTGAAGTCAGATCTAAGAAGAAAGTCTCATGCCAACCAGGAACAGATTTAGTTCATCAATTGACATGCTCTTCAACTAGTAATGGAGAACAAATTTCTGAAGAAGAAAATGAGAGTTCCGGTGCGTCCAAGTTCTTCATAAGCATCCGAAAGCAGGGAAGGCAACAGTAAGTTCTATTGTTCCTGAAGATAGTGCGCATTGATGGTATTTTGTTTCAATAAATTGTCTCAAGTACTTGATACTAGTAGTTGTTCCAAACTTCATTTACGAATACAATGCTATCTTTTAAAAATCTGGATTTATTGTTTTGGTTAGGTCTAATGTTACTAATGATGATTACTATGTCTTGACCAATAAATTTTTGGGAAGTTAAATGGTTTAAGCCCATGTTTGATGCAAATTAAAATATAGATTTTAATCTAAGTCAAAGTCAACAATTAATTTCAACCACATATTTTATAAGTCTAACAACTTTTTAACCACACATTTCATCAATTTCTATCAAAATTTACTGAAAAATGAAAATCTAATTTTAATTCTCACCAAACTGGAATATTGAATAGATAAAAATGAGTGGTGAGTAAGTGGGTAGTATATGTGGTTTCTTCGAAATGTGTGAATAAAAAATGATGGGAGTGTGTATAAAATATGAGCCTGAACATAGCCTTGATTACTTTGATGGACAATCACATTTGACATGAACATTAGTTTTTCATTTTATTTTTTTCCTGCGGATAAATATATGAGGATAACTTACGGAGATTTTACACTTCATACATCACTGTTACATAAACCACTGAAAAGAGATTTGCCTTTTATTTATCCAAGACACAACAATAATAAGACATAAGACCTTTTTCTGCAATAAAATTAAAGCTCTTTTTCCCGTTAATCATAGAACTTATCACAACTCAAGTATGAAAGCTATGTCCACATGTTTGTCTTCATTCACATTCAATGGATGAGTGTCATTTCAATTTATAGATCCTTGGCAATTATATATTCTGTACAACGATTTAATCATTTTTTTGTAAATTGAATTAACTATGAGTTCCTTTAGGCTAAAATGTGAATTTCAGAAAGCAAAATAAGAGAAGGTAGTCCATTTAGATTATCTGAGACTAAATTACTTACATTAGACTTTGGAGTGTTCTATGATTGAACATATTTCTGGTGTGAACAGATCTTTCTTTATCTTAATCTGCAGTTCATATCCAGCTTTTCCTCTACTGAGGCGGAAGAAAATCCCGTGGACAAGAGTAGAAGAGGAGACATTGAAGGTAGAAAATTTTCTGCTTATGATATGTAACTTGTGGATTTCCCTTTCCCTTTTCAATTTGCTGAACTTCAATTGGAAGTTTTTATGCTGAAACAATCAAATGAATAACCGAAATAAAGAAATGATTCATAGCTTCCTGCAAACTTATAGCCTTTTTGGTATGACAGAAGACTTGGAAGATGGAAATCTTATTGCTACAATGAAATAAAATATCCGATGATAGAGTTATAAAATCAATCTGGATGGATATGATAAGAGTGCTTGTAATTAGAGGATTTAGCAAAGGAAAGAAACAGTAATTTTTTTGAGATTTTCTGTATTTAATTCAATAATAAACCCAACTGGAGATAACAAAGGAATTGAAAGATGACAATCCAGCAGTTCGAGAAGCCGGCAGTCTCCACAATAAGATCCACTAATTTTTCTTGTCTTATCCCTCCTTCCTCTTCTCTATTTATATCCTATTTGTAACCACTTATTCCAACCAGCTGGACTAGTTAACAAAATCTATTGTATCTGCAGAATGGTTCTCACTTCTTCTAGGCTCTTCTAGAATATACTTGATTCGAGTTCTATCAATACCCGTCGCCTTGAAATCCACCTTGTCCGTAAGGTGGAAGTGTGGTTCAACTGCAAAATTTGAAATACCATGTAGCTGAACCATTTCTTTGGCACGAGTCCCTGCCAAGGCAAATGCAAAAATGGAATATTTCAATTTCAAAGATTGGGTCAACTGCCAAACTACTAGTAGAATAGTGCCCAAAGATACTCCATAACCTGTCGTACCCATCCATAAAACTTCCATGTGCTGAACTTCGTCAGTTGGGATAAACTTGAGGATAGCCACACCCTCCAACATCACGACAACTCCCGACTGCTCTATTTCACCTTTTCCTTTCAACATTTTTGGGGCAGTCAGGCCAACTACAGTATTTAGAAAAATTTCAACCATATCGACTCCTACTGCCTCCTTGCCATCGGCGTCACTTTCAATTTCATCTCCTTCAATTTCGGCAACCACTTTTTCAATTAGAAGTATGTTCAGTCCCTTCTTCTTGCGACAATGGCAGGAGAAATTTTCCTCACCTGATTGCATCTGATGGCTGTGATTGCAATTTAATCCAGTTAGTGGGCCTTTTCCTTGATTCGGGCTCAATTCACTTTGGGCCTGTACTAGTAATTGGTTCCTACCATCAACTCTTTGGGCCTTTTCCATTGTGCAGCCCAGTCCATTCTATTTTATCATGCTATTTTCAGTTTTGGATTGGAGCCCATTGATACAGTTACCCTCCACAACCAAAGGCGATGCTAATGCCTTAAAGAGATGCTGGCATTCCTCCTCCCTTCCCCATTCCCTATTTTCCCATTTATCCGTCATTAGATCAAGCATCTCCATCATTATTGTCATACTTCTCTGGAACTCAAATTTCATGGCTTTTATTCCCCCTCTTATTTTTGAACTCATTTTTTCAATCTTCACTTCCAGATTACTAACCCGATTTTCTAATTCATTTTCTTCATCAGATGTAATGTCCCAAAGTGATTGCTCTGATACCATTTGATAAGAGTGCTTGTAATTAGAGGATTTAGCAAAGGAAAGAAACAGTATTTTTTTTGAGATTTTCTGTATTTTATTCAATAACAAACCCAACTGGAGATAACAAAGGAATTGAAAGATAACAATCCAGCACTTCGAGAAGCCGACAGTCTTAGGATCCACTAATTTTTCCTGCCTTATCCCTCTCTTCCTCTTCTCTATTTATATCCTATTTGTAACCACTTATCCCAGCCAGCTAGACTAGTTAACAGAATCTGTTATATCTGCAGAATGGTTCTCACTTCTTCCAGGCTCTTCTAGAATATACTTGATTCGGTTTCTATCAGGATATCCACCTCACTTAAAAATATGGGATTTCTAAATTCAATCAAAATTGATCGGATCTGTAAATCTGACCACTACTGGACATACAAGTCCATCTCACCTAAAAATATGGTTAAGCTACATAAAATCTGTTTCCATAATCATTCCAAACCCAGTATAGCAATCCAACTCACATTTTAATTTAAATGCAAGATTTGAAGATGGAGATCTTATTTTTTTAAGATATGATGTCGATTTTCATCCCAGGCTTCTTAGGATTTCATACCAAAATTTCTTGGTGCTATTTCTAGATCCTCCTGCATTTGAGATTTCCAGTCCTTGAGGCTGCAGAATAAAATGCTTTTCTTGTACTTTGGTTGGAATTGAAAACCAATGATAGATAGTGGAGCAACATGATGAAACCGCTATTTACATGTAATGTATAGGGCAGTGCATTCTCATCCTGAAGCAGGTTAAGATTCTAGCACCATCTAGTCGTTCTTAGAATGCTCTGGGCCAACTTTTTCTTGGTCATCATGATGTTTTAAAAAAAATATATAGATTCTCCACTATAGCCCCCGTTTGGTACCCATTTTTTTTCAAAATGTATTTTTCTCTCTCTTCTTTTTAACCACACATTCTTTATTAAAATAATATTACACGTAAATCAAAAAAATTTCCTTATTTTTCAACCACGCGCTTCCCATCAAGTTACTATTCTAAAATGCATTTTTCATAAAAATAACTATCAAACACCCCTATAGTTTTAGTTTGAGAATTGTTTTTGCCGTGCTTTATTTTTATTCTTTTCATATTGGAAGGTTATGTTTTACGTTTTCCTCTTAAGTCATTTTCTTCAGATATGGTATTTTTTTTTTCTTCAACAGGAGGGCGTACAGAAATTTTATACTGCTCATGATAGAAATATTCCATGGAAGAAAATTTTGGAATTTGGAGCTGACGCTTTCCTAAAAGGTCGTACCACAATAGACCTCAAAGATAAATGGAGAAACCTTTGCAAAGGAAGCCCAAAATCAAAATGACGTTTAGTGGACCGGTTTGTGCTTGTTTGATAATTTCCATGCTGGAAATATGTTTGTGCATGTACAGTGGTAAAGAAGATACGTTTGTGCAAAATAAGTTTAGTCGACCAGTTTGTACTTGTGAGGATCGCGCTCTCCCCCCCTCCCTCCTTTCTGGAACTGCCAGACCTGACAACAATGAAACATGGGTTTTTATCATTGGAATTTTTGCTAGTTTAAGGGTCAAAAGAACAGCTGTTTATCTACCACATCTTCCCCAGTGACAATGAAAGTCCTTTTATCACTGTTAGCTTTATCCTTAATAAATCCCTCTAAAGATGTGTTTAACTACCTTAACTAAAGTTAATGTGACCATCAATTGTACCATGATCACTGTTTTCTGCACGTGTAGAGACGAGTGGAGGTTTGATGACACTGATTAGAGGTGATCCGAGTTCAAAATTAGATTTCTAGATCTATTGCAGCCATGGTGGTAATTCTTTTGCCAGCTTATATCTAGAGCTTTGGCATTATTGATTTCTATGTTCTATTGTATGATCTCTGCATTACTTGTTTATAGCTAAATCACTCTAATATTATGTTTCTTCTTCCTCTTGAAGTTTGATCCTTATCTTAAATCATGTCGGACTCGAAACAGATAATGGTAAAGACGTTTATATGCATTCTCATCATTGGGAGGTGGCTTTTTCGGATGAGCCCGGAAACTAAAAGGTCCCGGTCGCTTGTGGCATTCGAGTTGAGATGGCTGGTGAGAAGTTTTTCTTTTTCCCCACTTACAAAGCTGAGTTTAATTGTTACTAGTATCACATGGGAATGGAATTCCCCTGATTTATTGTATGATCTAGGCCTGTACACAAGCAGACTTTGTATCGAGTCTTCATGTGTGTGTGTGTGTGTCTGTGTGTCTGTGAGAGAGAGAGACATGGGATAAAGGTGAGTATGAAGTAGTAGGAAGGAGGCCGTGAAATTCTGAAAAACATGTGAATTAGGCTCGTGAACATGAAAAATGTTGTGAGGTGGTCTCTGTAACCCTCTCCTAGTAACTCAACTCTCACTCCCAAAGGATCCGATGTAAGGTACATGAAAACAGCAATTTAGATTTTTATACAAGTGTAGTAAATAAGCCATATTAGTTTTAAGATTTCCAATTTTAAATCATTTTTGGATACAATGGGATGATTGTGGGGACTTGACTTCTTACAATTTTGCCTGCTCTACGTGTATGTGGTATTCTAAACAGCACAAGTTCGTTCTCGTTGATTTAAACCTTCGGGTAATAATCGTGTCGACTCTTGTAGATTTCTTCGAAGATAATGTATCGTTCAAGGTTGTCTAAAAGGAGGGTTTGCTAATCGTTGAACTATTTAAAATTGTTTTTGAACTCGTCTTACATAAACCTGAACTTCATTAAAATCCGTTTTAAGGTTTAAATTATGCACATTAGCATTGTCTATATGGTAAACAAAAGAGATGAGTGGAATAAAAAGTGAAAATGGTGCAAATAAGTTATATACAAGTGGAAATGATTAAAATTATAATTTTATTTATTATACCATTTAATCTTATCTTTTTAACTAATAGTGTCATTTGGTGCTTCGATAGAATGCCAAATTACAGTAAGACCGATTCGAGTTTCAACTTTTATAAACTTGTTTATCTAAAACACACTGTAATTACGTACTTGTAATTCACAGTTTAATCGAAACTTATTTCCCGAAAAGGAAGATTGGTCTCTAAAATAAGTACTTTTCCAAAATAAGTGGTTAGTTTATTAGGGCAGTTGGGACCTTGGATTCTTCCTTCATAGCTCATAATATAGAGTTCCCACATGCACCATAGTTCATACTTCTCACGTGTTTGCATGGCTGCATATACGACAATTTTTGAACTATAGTGAGAGTAGAAAATATTAATGAAATTGTGAAATAAAAGGAAAAAAATAAATAAATAAACAGCCAATTGGAAGTAGAATTATGGAAATACAATACCACAAACTAAGCCCAACGGTCACATGGGCTTTGAAGACTTACTCCAAACGTGAAAACATTTAAAACAAACTACGCTCACACTCTATACATATCCCGCGCCAAACACTCCACTTCTTGCAATCTCCACTTCACTCTCTTTTCCACTCACACTTAGCATGGAAAATTGCAGAAAATCTCCACTCAAACCATGGAAGAAAGGCCCCGCGAGAGGAAAAGGCGGCCCCCAAAATGCTATGTGCGAATATAGAGGCGTTCGACAAAGAACCTGGGGCAAGTGGGTCGCAGAAATCAGAGAGCCAAAGAAGAGAACCCGACTGTGGTTAGGCTCTTTCGCCACTGCTGAAGAAGCAGCAATGGCTTACGATGAAGCTGCACGAAGGTTGTATGGTCCCGATGCTTACCTTAATCTACCTCATCTTCGATCCAACTTCAACCCTTTGAACAAATCTCAGAAGTTCAAATGGTTTCCTTCAAATAATTTCAACTCCATGTTTCCCACCACAGGATTACTAAATTTAAACGTGCAGCCGAATGTACGTGTCATTCATCAAAGGCTCCAAGAACTCAAGAAAACCGGAGTTTTTGGACCGTCATCGTCATCAAGCTCATCATCCAGTGACCCTAAGAACGATATCCCGAGCATAAGTGATCAACCTCGAGTGGAAAATCCTCAAATAAAAAAGAAAGATGCTGAATTTTCATCAGAAAATGCCTCGACTTGTTGTCAAGAGAAGCCACAGATTGATCTCAATGAGTTTCTCCAACAGATGGGGATACTAAAAAGAGAGGAACAGCATCAAGTAAGTAATGACTCCAGTAGTCTCACGGAGATAGACTCATCATCCAAAGAGAATGAAGGATTTGCTAGCTTTGCAGATAAAAATTTTAACTGGGACACACTGAGTGAAATAGCTGGAACAGAGATTCATCAAGAAACAGAGTCCAGTAGCTTCCATGCGTACGATATTAATGAAGAACTGAACTTTCCCCCATCTATCTGGAACTTCTAAAAGAGTTATAAGATTTTATAAAATAATTAGTCCATGCCATAGGAATATTATTCACTTATATAGCCTAGTTCAGTCTTTTGAAGAGCCAGAGTAAGAAAGAGCCAAAGAAATCAAGGATATTGACGTGCCAATCACAATGCTAATGATGGACAGTTTTCAAATGTCTGTATTTGTTTATCTCCAGAGATTCAGAGTAATTTTTATTTTGTCGAATTACGTACTTGTGTATGGAGAATAGCAACAATAAGCCATAACTTATGATGTTGCTCTGGCTCCAATGCAAGGTAGTTAATGGATGAGAGGTGAATCTGCCTTTTTTGGATTATATTTGTCTGATCATAGAAAATCTGTTGCTAGATGAAAAATAGAAAAATCGAACTAGTGAATATAACTTAAAGCAAGATGTGCAGCTTCATGTTTTACAAGAAACAGGCTACACTCGAAAAAATGATGATCATTTGATCTATTTGCCAGTGAGTAATCACACATTCGAGGTTCAGCATTCTTCGTCCTTCAACTTAATTCTATACTGCGATTCCAGTGTAATTACTTATCTTTCATCAAAATTCTTCCATTGAAAGATTCGTAGGTATTCACCAAAATGATGACTTTGGTAATGACATGAAGGTAAATCTGTATAAAAGATAAAGCTAAGAATATGAATAGAAGGTCGGAATGAATCAAATACATTACTTCCTATACATAAAATCTCAAAATTCGATCATGATCTTCTGCTATGGCTTCTTACTCTAAAGTCGGGAAGGGATTTTCTCCTAAGCCATGAATCTCAAACAGGTTCAGTTTGACGAAGCCTTCTCCTCATTCATCTCTATATATTGGTTGTATTGCCATTTGATTCCTCCGTCATCAGTGTCTCTCCTATCTAAAGTGCCTGTTTTTGCTGATATGTCTTAATACAGAGGCACCTTCCATCCCTGTTCTCAAAGAATCATAATTATCCAACTATTTATCATCCATCATTAAAACATTTTTTAGTCCATATGTTTGTAATTGAACCTGAGTCTCCTATTATTTATTGTGTCTATCCTCATAATCCAACTCTTCTATGAGCTGCTGCTCTCTAACAGCAACAGCCTGCCCATCTCTACTTCGCTAGGCTGTAGGATCATACCGTTCTTCTAATCCCAACATTTGGAAATTAGGTTTCTCGTACTCACAACCTCATCCTCGTCCCGTCAATTCCTACTGCAACTTCTCTTTAAGTTCTTCAAACCTAAAATTATACTACTCCTGGTAATGCTTCTGCTTTTCTATCTACGAAAACCCAATCCACTGTTATTTTTTCCATAACTAAAAACATGTGGTCCTCATCAAGATTTCTTCCCTTTTACCATGTCATTTTTCACTCTCAAAATAATTCTTCATGTTCAAGTTGCTATCATCATTCCTGAAGTTAATTAAATAAGTAATAATCAACATTTACCTTTGATTACTACTTGCTCACTCAAAAGTAAAAGGTTACTTGTCGCTTGCTTACTTTTATACAAAAATGCACATCCATAATTCATCTCAATTTCGTTCATTCATGAGGGCAAAAAAATCCATGTAGTGGATGAAAATCCTATGCTACAATAGGCGGTGTTAAAATTTGAGAATTAATTAACTGAGAATCATCAAACTTTTACTATTGATTACTACTACTCGCTCACTTAAAAATAAAATGTTATCAATTGCTCACTCAAGCCCGTACTAATAGAAGGTCAGCAATGAGACACATACTAGGTAGGAAAATAGGTAAAGACTGGTAGAAATCCTGGGGACATATCATTAAAAGAGGCAAGCGAATATGTTGTTGTAGGCTAATTCCCCTTTACTCCTTCAGCGAGTATTCTTGGAGGAGTATTTTCTATCCCGCTATTGGCCTTAATGAGCTAAGGGTCTGATCCTTTCTTCATAATCATGTAACCATCACCTCAAAAGCAAACAAAATAAAGGGAAGCCAGGCCAACAATATCTCATCACACACAAACAAGCCATCTGTAGAAATCGATGAAATGCTACCAAAAATATTTTTACACAAAAGTGATTCGAAGATATACATCCATAATTCACTCAATTATGTTCGTCCAACTGAACCAAAAAATTCATGTGACGGATGAAAATTCTACGCGACAGTTAACACTGTTAAAACTTGAGAGTTAATTAACTAAGTAACCACTAATATTTGCTTCTTGTTACTACCTGCTTACTCAAAAATAAAAGGTTACTAGTTGCTCGCTCACTTTTACACAATGTTAATTATCAATCATCCATCACATTTTTGTTCGTCCATGGATTAAAAAAAAATACAGAGTGAGGAAATTCAAACCACAAAGATTTGATGCACGTTTACTTAAGCATGACGAGCTAGCAGTTGTTTTGAAACCAACTGGTGACAATGTCGTCTCATCAACAGAAACGACGATGTCGCGGAAGCTCGCTCCAAGGATCATCAAACTGATTTTTTGGGATTGAGTTTCACGCTATCTTTCTCTACTAAACAACCAATCCAATGACTCCAATCTACAACCAATATATTCACCTCGGTTGCTTCTCAATCTTACCCACAAAGGACAAAATAATGGTGATGATTTGAAGTCACAAAGGCAAGAAGAAAACACCGCAAAAGTAGGCAAGGAAGATACCACAAAGTCAAAGGGAAGTCACAGGTTTTGGCACCACAAAGGTAACCGGTTTTGCTCTTCTATGGCAGCCACATTTTCTCCTCTTAAACACACAAATCACACACACAAAAATGGCTAGGGTAAGCACATATATAGGTTAGGCTTTTACTTGGACCAATAACAAGGTTAAATGGCCAAGATTCAAAGTTATTCAAGAAGTAATATAAATGGACCGGGTAGAGCCTTTGGACTTATTTGCTAATAATTATTTCACTCATCGGCTGAAGCCTATGAAATATAGTTCCATATTTAACATTATAACTTGGGATTTATTGGACATCAAAATCTAACAAATCTCCAGCTTGATAGCCAATAAATTTGCAAGCAATTAAAACACACGTTATTACTTGCATAATCAAGGTAACTAATAAATTGGAATAATAGATCTCACCTCCTGTTTTAGACCCGAAACACATACCATAACTGCTCCATGTACTCGCCAGAGTTAAGGTCATAAACAAAATACCCAAGTAGAAGCAAATAATCACAATGAACAATTAAGAGCAAATAACCATGCGATGAGGATATTATATGGGATAACACACAAATCTTTTCACAACACGTTCACACAGAACAATAGATTGACACTAAGTTAATCAACAAATGACCAACACATATGTAACAAAAGCATAAATGACTCACGAAAGATCTCACCGCACTTATCCTATCCCATTCCATGTTGCTCACACCTCGAAAATACATATCTCCTGTCATCGCCCACCATGCTCACTAGGCTGATCACTCAACTCATGTTTAATTGATAAGCCACAATGGATCATAAGTACATGGGATAATCCTCTATCACCACATCACTTCTCCTAACTTACGTAGGTAATGGGTCTCCACCTAACAAAAGTGATAAAAGTGTCTCTCTCACACTTCACGTGATCTGGATCTCTTCACGGATAAAAGATTCCAACATATAATCACCTCTCCAAATGTCACACTCTACATTATAGGTACAAATGATCAATGTGACCCTAGGCATCTATACTCCAACCTACCAAAAGACACTCACCACACTGCTAATGTATCCCAACCGACAACGCATGCAAACAATTACACAAGTAATAAAATCTCTTTAATTCATACAATTACACACAAATAAATTGAAAGTGTAACATATCAATGCAACATAATTAAGCAATCATACGCATGCAGAAAGGATTACACATAGAGGCACATATAGTAACCAGATTTACTCAATAAACCTTGCTAGGGTCAGCATTCGACTCTAAAGCTACATTCCCCTCACCACTCTCCTTATCTTTCTTTTTATTATCATTTCTAAGACAGTTTATTTCACAATGTCCAAAATTTATCGCAATTAAAATATATCTCACTTTTCTCACTTGTCTTAGACCTACATATGCCGTCAATACTAAATAATGATCACAAGCAAAATACGGACATAATTCACACAGAATAGTCAAACAAACTTTTCTAAGATCACATTCAATTCGAACAATGAAGAAAAGATTGGCAACAAATTCACAAAAAATTTAGTCTAGCAACATATAATGGTTACCCCTTTACGGTGTGAAAAATAAATTACCCTACACAATAATTTTAACTATAGTAATAAAAGGCAAAAAAAACTTGATATCGAGCAGACCACATCTAAGTCCATAAATTATGGGAGATGCAAATTTATCACTCTAGGACCATCACTATTCGTCCTAAGGTCTTCAACAATAGCAGGAATCAATTAACCATAATCGAATCCTGAATGCTCGAAGAACAGAATCGTTCAGACTTCGTTGTATAGTATAAAACAGAAAACTAACGACACCAAAATGTCAAAAATGATGTTAGGAACAAATTGTTAGAAAAAACTGTCGTTAAATTTCCTCTTAAGAGCATCCACGTACGTCCAACAGTTTCAACGCTTAGTCCCCACACGCTGCCTTCGGCTATCATTTGCCTAACCTCCGGGATAACCTTCGCCTGTACATCTCGAATATGGCCTCCATTCCACCATCAGGTCTCTGGATTGGCCAAAAATTACACAAATAGCCTTGATTTTTGGACAATTTTTTAATCTATTTTTTGCTTCATCTGTGTTCCTCTTTGATTGATATTTGGTCATTTTTTGGAGCCAAATCCACCATCTTGAAGCTATGATACCAATTGTCACAAAAGATCACTCCAAGGATCGTCATATTTGTGTTTAAACTCAATTTCACGTAACCTTTTTCTACTAAACACCAATCCAAACGGCTCCAATCCACAACCAATTATTCCCCTCAGTTGCTTTTCAATCCCACCCACAAAGGACAAGATAATGGTGATGATTAATAGCCACAAAGGCAAGAAGAAAACACCACAAAAGGAGGCAAGGAAGAGACGACGAAGTGAAAGGGAAATCACAAGTTTTGGCACCACAAAAACAGCTGGTTTTGCTCTTCTATGGCAGCCACATTTTCTCCTCTTAAACATACAAATCACACACACACACACACACACACACAAAAAGGGCTAGGGTAAGCACATATAAGTAGGGTTAGGTTAGGCTTTTAGTTAGACTAATAACAAAGTTAAATAGACTAAGATTCAAAGTTATACAAGAGGTAATAATAATGGACTGGGTAGAGCCTTTGAAATTGGTTGTTG